GTATTACAGAACACCTCAGAGATCATCACCTGGAACACCTCACGTGTTCCAAAAGTGTTGCGTTAAACGCGTTCTGGATGGTGTTTTTTCAGGTGTTCCGAATCGGAAAATTTTTTACAGTGTAGACACGAGGAGGGGGACACCTGCCGTTTCCTGACCGTGTCCAAGGATTAAGCTCTCGTAAATCATTTTTGGCCTGCTGCCTTACGTTACGTTCAATTTAACCAGGGTCTAAAACGTAGGCTAAAACGTTGCGTGAGCATAGGCCTTAAACTTATCCTAAAGACCCTCCTCTGTTCAACCACGAGAGAACCGTTCTCTTTCGCGACGCAGACATCGATACCAAGTCAGTCTCAGCCGTCAAGAAAAAGTGACCAAGCACCCTTTCTAAAATTTTACCTGTCGCTTACCCAATTAGTTAAGTAACCAGTTCCAGAGTGTCTCAGACACAGTTCTGTTCTTCATGTCAAATGAGTGAACGGGAAAAAATTGGACTGGAGGGAGGGACGAGTCAGAATGGCGATCTCCCTACACCAAAATTAGTGGAAATTTTTTCGAGTGGATGAAGAGTCTAAGAAACTGTTCTTTGTCATGTAAATGTTAGCGTGAGATCATTAGTTGCCAAAGTGAGAAATGAAAGGGAAAAAGGGAGGAAGATACAGAAATTTAAAAGCAGCCTGGAAACCAACCAAATGGAAAGCAAGGCCCCATAGGTGATGTAGTGAGTCTAGACCTGTTTCTGATCCATCACCAGTAGGACTGCAACAGTCAGCACTGCATGTTCAGGAGGCAGAAAAAGTGGCACCCCTCTCATTTCAGGTGTATAAAAATTAAGTTCTTTCTCAATAATATAGGATTCACGACCTTTGGTTGAGAATAATGGATCAAGAAGCTAATTCCTGAATCACAACCAAGGTATGCTCAAGAATTCCTCTTGGAGCATTTCATGCTGGTATACGTACATCTTACAGGAGTATTTCATGAGATATTCCATGAAAGGGAGATCAAGAAAATGCTGAAAAGTTACTCTTCAACGGGGAAAATTTGAAGTAAATGATGTGGTGCTGATGAATCTTTAATATGGTTTTATGCTGAAATATTGTCAAATATCATATCGGCTATCGGCTTTATATAGCGGCCAATACCGGAATCGGCAAAATCGGTAAAATCCAGTATCGGTCGATCTCTAGCTATAAGGCCCACCAGGTTGCCTATCTGCAAGGAAACACACCAATTTTAGGTTTCAACCCTCCAGATATGCAACCCGGTTATCCATAAGGCACCCATTGAACAAACAGGCAGCAAACATTTCCCTATGTTGCGCTTAAATGCGAACACCCAGTATATATATTAGGTACATTCAGGATCACAATTCTTTGCAAAAAAATGTGTTTATGAACGTGAACTAGTTAGGAAAAATATTCAGAGACTTAAGAACATTCAAACGTACTCATGATCTTTTTCCTTGCAGACGGTTCCGCTAAGAACACAACACAGGTGTAGTGGAAATCCCCAAAGGAACCTTTCGGAATCTTCCTTGCAGAAGATATTTATGAATAATACTGTAGTGAAGACGATCCACCCGTCAACCATGCTCCCTTTGAAGCACTTGCTCGCCAATATCGAAATTCTCGATTGTCGTCAGGAAGACTTTCCGTTTCATATTCTTCATGAATACCATCTCTTGAAAAAACTGAACGTTACAAAGAATTTGTTGACGTCTGTCCCATCATTATTTGAGATCGACAGCCTGGAGATAGTCGATTTCGATCACACGTGCGGAGTTCGCCGGATGGGCGACTCCGAAACTAAGGGAACTCTATCCCAAAAACAATTTGTTAACCTCTACCCTGGCCTTCAAGAGCGACAGCCTGAAAATACTTCGCCTAGATAAGAATATGATCACGAGTATGGAGCTCGACCGATGGGCGACTCTCAAATTGAGAGAACTTCATCTCCCCAATAATTCGCTGACCTCTTTCCCAGCCTTGAAGTGTGACAGTCTGGAAAAGCTCAGTCTACATGGTAATAAGGTCACGAATGCGGATTTGGACGTATGGTCGATTCCTAAATTGATGAAACTTCTTCTGGACGACAATTTATTGACCTCTTTCCCAGCCATCAAGAGCGACAGTCTGGAAGTACTCATTCTAGAAGGAAATAGGATCACGAGTGTGGAGTTAGGATTGGCTACGCGCAAATTGAGGGAACTGTATCTCTTCAACAATTCGTTGACCTCCATCCCGACCTTCAAGAGCAACAGCCTAGAAATACTCAGTCTAGAAGGAAACAGGATGTCATCCGATGTTTATGGCACTACATGAGTATACATGAATGGAAGTTCTCTTGATGCAGGACCCCTCTTCCTCCAAGCTCACATGCATTGTGTTATTGCCAGAAGCTCGGAGATTCCCTTGTCAACATCAGATATCGATATGAAGGATCTCCTGGAGAACCTCGGGAAGCTGGACCAATGAATTCTCTCCAATGTTTAAGGACTTGAGTAAGTGCGGTCTATTGTAGTTTGCAAAAAAGTGACAATATGCAGTGATGGCAACGTTGATGATGATGAAGACGTGGTGATTATTAGCTACCATATTGATTTCTTTGTATTTACAGAAGTTTCAGACCTCCCAGAGTCCCTGAAAATTTTATCTCTGGTTGAGTTGGATTTGGTTCTGGTGGGAGAAGGGGAGAAACACCCTGACGATGCTCAAGAGTATCATCCAGAGACCCCCAAACAGGGAGAAAGCATCTCCAATGGGGACGAACATTTTGAATTCAAGACTGAGTGAGTTTCACATGATATTCTTTCAAGAATGATGCAGTTAAGCTGAATATTTATAAATTTATTCTATAATGCCATGGACGGATTCAGAGATGCGATTGGGGACATGACAGCAGGAGAGTTCCTGGAGAACGAAGACACCGACATATTTGGTCATGGTTTCATCCATCTCAGCTCATCATGAGGATCATGTTCAGTAAGAAGCGGCATAACATTTCACTTGGACCACACATAAAAAACATGACGGTATTAGTTCAAGTCGATTTTATGCTTCATTTAGTTTCACTCTTTTTTTTGCTCTATCTGCAATTGCCTTTGCTGAAATACGTTTTATGTATTGATTTTAAGATATGAGCCAAGTGGGGTTGAGACGGCGCATGGAGTATCATGAGAAACTTCTGTGACATCGATTTATTCTCCCTTTTCAAACGTTCAATAGTTTCCCCATCCCATTCCTTCTCCGCCGTATTTTTTAATGCGTATCTTTGAGTGCAAGATGTCATGAAAATTATTTTGGCTCCATCCTAGGAGGCGAATCTCTCAAGTTCATTATCATGAGCCTTTTCAGCCTGATCAACCAAGAACTTCAGAACATTTGCCTTAGTAAAAATTCAAACGTTGCTGAATCATGCGATGCAATATCTCTAGTTTTTCTTTTGTGGACTCTCACCTATTTTCATTCGAAATACGATTGAAAAGATTTTAGTTGTATGAAAATGACAAAAATCTCTCTTTTGCCTCAGCAGTCATGCCCCCTGAGACACGTGGATCAAAATGAATGGAGGATCTTTGAGCCATGGATTTTACCAAGTTGCTCAGGAAAACAGGTTAGTATTTTCTGCTTGTCTTTTTCTGAGATTAAAGTGATGGTTGATAAATATTAGTCTGAATCAGTCATATTCAGAAATGTGTCCCAGTTTTAGGAACTGAGGCGCACATGGAATCCAATGAGATAACATCGGAAGGCAATGGGTGATATGGGTGAAGGAGTGCACCAGAAGCATGGAAGAGATGCAGAGAATTCCTGGAGTGACTGATGAATAGGGAATATTATCAACATGACTCCAAGTGTTATTGTTCTTGCCTTTACTCACCCATGACAATTTTTGGGGTTTTCCTGTTTGGTTCCCCCCCCGTGTAACAGCACCTGCTGCCTTCTCTGTCTCCTTTTCCTTCTCCTTGTTTCCGCTAATTTAATCGATTGTGTACGGATTTGATCCGATGTGATAGTTTTTTTCTGCAATTGAGTAAAAGTATGAAATTGATTCCTCTCTCCTTCGCTCTTGCTACTTCAAGTCATAGAAGCAGTCCTCCCGCATTTCTATTACTCTGCGATGTCTAAATGATTTATGCTAGTGTGCATTATGTGCTAGTGTACCAATATTCCCAATGTGTAATTAGCGCCTGTCAGGGTGTTGGCTTTTTAAAAATTATCTATGAAAGTTGAATGAAATGGTTATGAAAAGTCATGTCATTATTATTATGGGAATATGAGAATTTCCCTCTTGGGAAGGAGGAAATTTGAGAAATGTTGACGATATTGATATTAATACGCTGATCCCATTTGATTCGAGGTCAAAAATCTATGTGGATGAAATTTATGAGGAGGCGATTTGAGACACATTTTGGAATTTCCGGTGGAGGCGGAAGGTCCATTGGGGAACATAATTCCTGTATTGATACGGTTTCTGCTGTTCCTTCAAAACACATCTGAAGTATGAGGTTTCGTTTCCCCGCATCTCGGCGGATTTTGGCCATTTGTCCGAAATCCGTCTGGATTTTGGGCAAAGTACTCGGCTCATGCAGAAGGCTTTCCTCTCCCCCATACGTCCAGCTGGATTTCGGACAATTGCCCGAAAAATTTGAAGAAGGGGACCCCTTCCTCTCATCGCATACAGTCGGACTTCGGGCAATTGTCCAAAGCTCAGTTCGAATGGGAACCTCTAGTATTCCAGGGAGTCGTCCAAATGGCAATTGAAGAACCTCTTCTCAATTTTAGCCGGATTTGGGACAAAGACTTCCTACATGATTGATATGTGGTCGGTTCCACGGGGCAAGGCAGCCATAAAACTCATTAATGAAAACGATAAAAAATACGACCATTTTGTCGCATAACATTGGACCATTTTCCCTAAAACATGGCCACAGAGTAACACATATTTCGATATGTCTGGTTTCGCTGGAGCAAGCTAATTTTCCTCGCATTTCTTTGAATGAAACCTATTATTATAAACTAAAGTGAAACCTAAAAATTAAAATGAAACTCGTTCAACGCACCCCAGACATCCACCAAGCACCTCCAGGTGGTGCCGGCACCCCTGGTTGGGAACCCCTGCTCTATGGAATAGGTGCAAAAAATCCTGTTATTGGCCGGTGAGAGGAGAAAACCGACCCAGAATGTAAGAAATGACCCAAATTTTAAATGAAGACCGCAGTAAAAAGCGATAGGCTTCGAGGAGAGTGGACGAATTCTCGTGAGAATTGACAAGAAGCTGGTTAAGAGACTTCTTAAGGGATCTATCAAATGAAATTGCGAAATGCAGCCTCATTTTTGAGTAATGCTCGTTAACCTCGCGTCGTTTCCTCAAAATTGACATTTTCATATGGATCGTCGAACTTTGAGGGGGAACAGAAGGAGAAAATTTTGCGCAACTCCATAAAATGATGGACTAGGATGGCCTCCAAAAACCGGAGCATGATTTTGTCAATAAAAAAAAATTTCTATGAGGAATGAGCGCGGAAAAACGGGAATCTGCGACGGAAAATTTTTGAGTTATAGCGCCATGGGGTCTCGATAACGGCAGTTACATGCCTGTATTTATTTCCATTCATCGCGGTATTTTCCAATGAGAACGATGCGAATTTGACGTTTCTGCAATTAAGGGTTGGGGGGGGGGGGATACAGATTTTAAAAAAGAGGCAAATAAATCGTGACGTTCGACTTCAAATCGTGGCCCAGGGAGCGATCAGAGTCAGCAATCGGCTCCAAGGCCCTTTCTTGATGTCCCCCACAACAATTATGAACCGAAATTTAGATCCAGAGGGGTTCATTTTTGTATTCTAATAGAACTTTAAAAGGGTCATGAGAGACTGAATGGACCTGCGATTGGCCTTACACGTCCTCGACGAGATGTCTCGAAGACCTGGGATTAATCCTTATAGGCCTAATCGGTCCAGTAAGTTGAGGAATAATTTATTTTTAACGAATAAAGGTAAGTCTGGGCCTGTCCTGAAGACAGTCCGTTGGTAAGGCCTAGGCCTGACATTAGTTCCGTAGAAAAGGGGGAGAGGTTGAGGTTGAGGTTGAGGTTGAGGTTGAGGTTGAGGTAGGATAGAAAGCAGGAAAAATGGTTTTCACTTTACTACATAAATCCCTTTTGGGGTGAACACCAATCCACTCAGGAGCGGTTACACGTGAATCCCCTCAGAGTTGAATGTCAATCCCTATACGAGGGGAAATTTAAAAAAGTAAAATGAATTTTTTTTTTCTCAGACAGTTGGCTATTCTGGTTGAAACAGTATGAAGCGATTCGGTTCAAACCAAACATAAAAACGTGTTGAAACTAATCTCGAGAAATTCGAAAGTGTTGCGGTCCAGCTAATTTTATCATCGAGACCACACCTCACGAATGAATCACGAATGAATAAATAAATCATGAATGCGAAAGATCATTCCAAATTCGAAAAGTGACAAATTAGGAAAAATAATTTATTCTGGAAATCAATATTAGAAAAATGATCACAAAATCTGACATATTTGCAAGATTCGAAGGAGAAATCACGGCAAATATGATTCCGAAAATCGAAATCAAGAACAGATTTGTTAGCAAAACTGATTTATGAAGGAAATCGGAATCTACTTTCCTTGTAGACGATATCGACACTTGAAACGCCATCTTCGGTCGGGCCTTGCCTTTGCCCATGGACCACTTGGATCAGCTTTGCTCAGCTTTATTCCGTTCATATCATGATCATTACGACTAGGCATCGAAGACCGATGAAACGGTCTCTCTACCAAGCACTGACCTCACTTTGCACTTGTGAGTGCAATCAATCCTCGAGGGACACGATTGTGTTCATTACGCAAAATGTTCATCATCTTATTGGACTTCATGGGCTGCAATCAACAGAATGAATTTTTTTAAGGGTAACTTAAGGAATGAAAGGGGACTCCGAGTGTAATAGGCAGGGACGTTTTACATGTCCCTGCGGAAAATTCCGTTTTGAACCCCCCTAGGTAGTGAGTGGGAGATGTGCAGGCCTTTCTCTTTCCCGTTGCAATGTTAGGGATGGCACATAGGCGCCGAACCCAGGGGGGCAATGGGGCGCATGCCCCCCCAACATTATTTTGGGGGGGGGCAATGCCCCCCCAAGATTGGCCAATATACTTCTCGAGTATGACTCTTCGAACATACAGTACACAGTAATGCCCCCTCTTTTAATTTATTTTACTTTTTTTTCCCACCAAGGGTGGTATGAATATATACAGAATATTATCAATGCAAAATATGCATTCTTCCAATAAATCCTTGAATGAGTGAGACCATGTTACTTAAGGGCCATTTGGACCTTGCCCCCCCAATATTTTTTAGAAGTCGGCGCCTATGGGATGGCATGGAAAGATAACAACAAACGAGTTCTGTGGTGTACTGGTAGCGCGCTTCACTGTCAACTAAGAGACCCTGGGTTCGGTTCCCGCCTCCTCCATCCTTTCCTCTTCGTCCTTTTATGTCATCCGAGCATTTCGCTCCCCCCCCCCCCCCCCAGGGGGCTATTACGTTCTCGAAAATATTGAATAGATCCGACAGTCGCAACGGCAGGGAAAAAAAGGCAAGCCCGAGAAAGGAAGACGTACACCGAGAGGCACGAAAAAGACATTATGGGGAAAGCATATGCGATCGCGCTGAGAGCACGCCTGTCATGTGTACGCGCGCATGCCATCGACCACCGACCACAAACCACCAAGGACCACGGTGGATTTTATTATTTAGATTTGAATCCCTGTGTGGTATTTTTGAACAATTTTGCGCGGAACAGCCCGACAATCTTGTGTAAAATGGAAAACTCGGATGAAGAGGCGAGGTGAAGCAGCCGCGCTTGTGAAATCTGGCTCATTAGTAGGAGCAAACATGGTGCCCACGAATGCTCGACGACCTGATTGAATTCAACTATAACCTGAGTTTTTCGGGAAGGGGGCGGGTAGGTGCCCCAGAATGCCCGTCTCATTTCGAAGCGAAACACTTGAACAATGTTCATAAGACGTCATTGCATGACTCTCAAAAGGAATGTGCAGAAAAGATCCTCTTCATTCTATGGTGAGATGTATTCGCTTCTGCACTGGATGGAAAGAAACTCACTCGAACTGAATGTCTTAACTGTTTCTTTTTTCTATTTTCACCGATTTTAAGGGGCGACTCCCCTGAAGCTGCTGACGTCAGTACAGGCATGGCTCCCAGGTATGCAGTTCATCAACGATCTTTTATGATCTGAACGAATAACAATTCATTGTAAACATTTTTGGATATGAACTCAACTCAATCAGCAGGTGAAATAAAGGGTGGGAGTCATTTTCTTTTCCTTCAAGGTTCAAATGAGACCCACTGAAAAATGTATTCGTGCAACAGCTTCTTTTTTCTTCTATGGAGGCTCTACATCCATGAATGCTTTCCCGGTCGTGACTTCGACTTTCACTGTCTCATAAGTCCAACATGAATGCGAAAGAAGTCCAGTTAGCAAATAAATTGAAACATGACGAAGAGGAAATTACTGCGATAATTCCGGAGGCCAAAATTTTCCCTTAAACTAAATTATGTCACATTTTATCAGAAAGCATGTAGAAACTGTTTTGGTGATACGCGCATTTGTTATGCCTACACTATCCTAACTCTTCTAGGCATTCTTTCAGTTTCCAGTTCCCATTCAAATAACAATAATTTGCCTCTGAATTAATTTTCAGATCTTAAAACTTTTGTGTTTAGCTTTGTTGTTTGCTGCGTATCAGGATGAAATGATCGCCATCATGGGACCGGATGATACATTCACTTTCTTTCAATTTTAGCCGCTGTGTGTAGAATATTTTGCACATTGATCATGTTGAACATGGTTATTTTTTCCGCATATGTTGTACATTCGTTCTCGTAAGCCTTCAGCTTGCCTTACCCCGGTTTGAGAAATCGCGTCATTTCCTGTTCCACGCCTAAGAAGAGATACGGAGGAAGGATATGAAAGGAAAAGCACCATTCTGCATCGACCCGAAACGGAAACTGCCCTGGATAAGTCATTCCCCATCCTTCTGGGAAATGAAAGAGGATCCTTCGCAAGTCGACTCCAGCCAATCTTCCTCTCCTCCCTCGTCGGAACCATTAGATTATTCCAAGTAAGTTCATAGTCACCTGGCGTTCTCAG